CTGCCAACCTTGCAACACACTCCTCGGGTAAAAGCAACTCCCATTACACTGATGGTGGCTAGTTTTAGTCCTTGAATAAAAATTTCTGGCTTATTCTGTAAATAGCAGTCACATTTTCAGAACATTTAAGTGGAAGAAAATTTTAAGTTACTCCTTTTTCAGCTTGAATTTACTCGAATATCATTTTTTTCCATCTAGCATCATTTACATATATGCAAATTTTACGGTGGAGGTTTACTAGTTCTAAAATAAGTGGTGATAAACTTCCAGAGTATATTATAAAGGTAAACAATGGCTGTAAATTAAGTGAATAGTCTATGGGAAACCCAAGATGAGTCACTTGATTCTTTCAGACTCCTGTCATACTCCATTTTTTCCTTTTTTCTTTTTGCATTTCTTCATCACCATAGTACTTTTCTGTTGTTGTTAACCCTCACGCAAGGGTATTTTTCCATTGATTTTTAGAGAGAGAGGAAGGGAGGGGGAGAGACAGAGAGAGAGAGAAACATCTATGTGACAGAGACACACTGATGTGAGAGACACACATTGATAGGTTGCCTCCTGCACTCACCCTGACCCTGGCTGGGGATCGAACTTGCCACTGAGGTACTGCCCTTGACTGGAATCAGGCTGACAGTCCACGGGTTGACGCTCTTTCCACTGAGCCAACCTGGCTGGGGCCACCATAGTACTTTTATTTATTTTATTTATTTTAAAAATATATATTTTATTGATTTTTTACAGAGAGGAAGGGAGAGGGATAGAGAGTTAGAAACATCGATGAGAGAGAACCCTTGACTGGAATCGAACCTGGGACACTTCAGTCTGCAGGCCCCCGCTCTATCCACTGAGCCAAATGAGCCAAACGGTTAGGGCTATGATCTTGACGACCCCCTCTCCCTCAGCAGGAAGTAACTATGGAAGAAATGGCCTCCATCCCTATTCCATAAAACGAAAAGGCTGGAATATTAGATTTGATCAAATAATAGAAACGATATCCTCTCCCCTGGGAAACTGACCTTTAGATCATTTTGCAACTGACATTCCTTTCCACTTGGCTGGAATATTAGATTTGATCAAATAATAGAAACGTTAAGCTCTCCCCTAGGAAACTGACCTTTAGATCATTTTGCAACTGACATTCCTTTCCACTTAGACCACATTCCATTTGCTAAGACCAGTATCTTTCCACTCCAGACTTGCCCAGGATCTGGACCCACTCAGAGAACTCCCCGTGGTCAAAGCCTGCTTAGGGTCCTTTAAAATCTCTGACTCCCCGTCCCTGGTCCCTGGGTGCTGGTGCCATTGTGGGGCTCAGCCCGTCTGGTATCCAGATGACCGAATAAATGGATAATCCCTTCCTACTTTTGGCCTTGGGCGTTCCTCCTTGGGGACCCTAACAGTACCCACCAATGTAAAAGTAGCATGTGTCTCTCCAGTTTGTTTTTTACCCAAATCCCAAGGTTTTCCCCGCTTTGCTGCCTCCTATCCCCTTGCTCTACCACCAATGGATTTCATGTAACCATCCTTGCCTCTCCCCCTTTTGGCCTTGGGTTCCTCCTTGGGGACCCTAACAGTACCCACCAATGTAAAAGTAGCATGTGTCTCTCCAGTTTGTTTTTTACCCAAATCCCAGAGTTTTCCCCGCTTTGCTGCCTCCTATCCCCTTGCTCTACCACCAATGGATTTCATGTAACCATCCTTGCCTCTCCCCCTTTTATTCTAATGTATAAAGTAAGCTGTAAAACTGCCATTCTCCAGAGCATTTTCTTGAGCCATGGAGATTCTGCTCGCCCACAGTGATCAATTTGGTTCAAATAAACTCAGTTCTCTATAAGTTTGGACATTTTTTTAAAAAAATGTATTTTTATTTACTGCAGAGAGGAAGGGAGAGGGAAAGAGAAACATCAAGGACGAGAATCATTGATGGGCTGCCTCCTGCACGCCCCCTACTGGGGATCGAGCCTGCACCCGGACAGGTGCCCTGGACCGACTCCAAGGGGCCCTTACTGGGCGGGCCGACGCTGTATCCGAGCGAGGGCAGGTTTCGACATTTCTTACGCTCCGTTCCTCACGGTGACCCACCACGGCCATAGTCGCAGACTTAGTACAGTAGACACACAGGTACCCTAACTGAAGGCAAGGCCCGGTGACTCCGCGTACAATACACCGGTCCCGCTGCCGCCTGCACGCCTACCCCGAAAAGCCAGCTTCTCAGTCTCCTTCCCGAGCGCCAGACGTCACGATCCCACCACCACCAAGCCCTCCCCAGCCCCGCCCCGGGACAGCAAGAGGAAAAAGAGATTAGCAGATAAGCAGAAAAAGAGATTAGGTACCAGCTGATCAGGTAACCACTCCCTTGGTGACGCAGTTACCCGCCCCCGGCGCAGCCCGGAGACAGGGTCCCGGAGCGCCACCGGATCTCGCGCTTCTCCCGCCTCTCCTGGCGTTGGGAAGGGGGCGGGGCAGGGAGGGTCAGGTGACCCATAAAGCTCCGCCCAGGGGTTCGTTGCCCGGGGACCTGCCTTGCGCATGCGCGGCCGAGGCCAGAGTTGGAGCATCGTGTACTCCAGCAGCTGTTGGGATGGGGCTAAGCGTGCGCGCCGTTTTCTTTGACCTGGACAACACGCTCATCGACACGGCGGGGGCCAGTAGGAAAGGCATGTTGGAGGTAATATCCCGGTACCCGCAGCCCTCCCCCGGTTCTCTTCCCTCCGTGTCCTTCCTCCTCCGCTTACCCGGCGCCCGGGGTGCGGGATCCCGCAGGGGACCCGGAACTCTGGCCTCTGCTACTTTGAGACTCCGGTGCGGGAGCCGCGGGAAAGGGTGGGTGGGCCGGGAGGCTGCCTGCCCTCAAGCCTGGCGGCCTGGGTTACCTGCCTGTCTACTCGCGGCTCCGGCAGGCTGGGTTCTTTTTTTTTTTTTTGGTGCCCGTGACCGGAATCGAACCTGGGACCCTTGAGTCCACAGGCCAGCGCTCTATCCACTGAGCCAAACCAGTCAGGGCAAGCTGGGTTCTTGAAATTCGTTCCAGCGCTTTGGGACCCAGAAAGATGTCATTAAAGCTGCCACGATGGCAGAGTTGAACTAAAACATAGGAAGACTGTCACCAGGCTTTCTTATTTAGTATATTTTTATTGTGATTTCAGAGGAAGGGAGAGAGATATAGAAACATCAATGATGAGAATCATTGATCGCTGCCTCCTGCATGCCCCGCACTCGGGATGGAGCCCGAAACCCAGGCCTGTGTCCTGACCGGGAATCCAGCCATGACCTCCTGGTTCATAGGTCGATGCTCAACCCTGAGCTAAGCCAGCCCGGTTTCAGAGGATCTTTGAGGAGATCTAGGAAGTTACACAGCTATCAGTTGTGAGCCTAGACTTAATCGATTCTAGAGAATTTTCACTGCCGAAAGTTTTCTCCTGTGATCCCAGGGAGTGGTGGAGTAAGGGAAGTGAAGGAATTGAATACAGTTTACATAAATGAGCAGGTTCCTGTTGTGAATAATTGGGGAATTTTTGAGATAGTATGCAGAACCGACTTTATGTTCCTCCCAAGGAGCAAGAAAGTTGTGATACTGATTCACCAATTTCTGTTCCTCATTGGTTGAGGCCTGCTCCCAGGCAACACTTTGGCCTCAGCCTATGTGTATGGGTGCCCCTGAGGCCAAATAAAGCCCTATAGGGCCTAGGCAGAGAAGCCCAAGTACTTACAGTGTGAAGCCATTGATACAGTATATGGGAATAGTGTGTGCCAAGGTGATTTGGGTAGCATCTCGTATAGCCTGGGACTCGGCCCTTTACAGACTGATTCCAAGCAGCCTCTAGTCTCATCTCTTAGCATCCTCCCTCACATGACTTTCATTTTGGCTGAACTAAGCTTCTTGCCTTTCCCAGTTTACAAAATTCCAAGCTCTGTGACTTTGTTCATTCTGTTCCTTCTCTTTAGAGTGATTTTTATCGTCTTCCCATTCCCACTTTAGGGGCTTGGTAACTGCTTTAACTATTACTTCCTTTGATAAGCCTTATCCAGCAATCCTGTGGAATGACTTGCTCCTTTTTATTTCCACAGTCGATGTTCATAAGATTGTCATAGCACTCAACCCAGTATTTGTGGTGGTTGCATACTTAATTTCCCCCAGATAATGTCATGAAGACAAGAGACCCAGTCTCCAAGTGCCTAATACAATAGTGTAAAGGCAAGCAAGTGGACTACGGAAGCTCATGCAAGTTACACGACAATCCTGAACTTCTATTTCCTCATCTCAACAAAGGAACTCTTAGAGAGTTAGAAAGGTAGAAATAATGTATGTAAGCACTGGGCATAATGCTTGCCACATTAGGGTCTTAGTAATGTTAGAAGACAGGCCAAATGAATAAGAACCTAATGTAATAAAAGCCAAGATAAAGAGCTGTGGAGACATGAGGAGGTGTGCTTAATTCTGAAGAGGGAATCAGAACCAGGGTAGCAAAGAGAGTGACTCAAAACTACTTGGAGTTTTTAAAATCTAGAAACCTAGGTTTGGAAGAAGCACTGGATCATTAAACTGCTGAAATCACAGAACATGCTTGATTCCGAGCTACATACACATTTTTAAAAGTACAGAATTAGCCCGGCAGGTGTGGCTTAGTGGTTGAGCATCGACCTATGAACCAGAAGGTCAAGTTTTGATTCCCAGGCAGGGCACATGCCAGGGTTGCAGGAGGCAGCCAACCAATGATTCTCTCATCATTGATGTTTTATTCCTTTCTCCCTCTCTCTTCCTCTCTGTAATTGATAAAAATATTTTTAAAAATAAGAAAAGGTGAGGTGAACTAGTGTTATTTCTGGAAAGAGTCTAAAAAATAGTTAGAAATTTAAAATATTTTACTAAGTATAAGCACAAGTTCATGTGTTTATGACCAGAATGAAATGTGGTGGACTTAAACTGCTAAAAGAAGGATTTTTATTAGTTGTATATAAAGAATGTTTATAGAATAGAAATTGGTAAAAAAAAAAATTATATATAAATGAGCTGTTTAGAGAGGTTGGGAGATCTTTACTCTGACGTTCTTTAAAAATAAGACTGATTCCCAATGGAAATGGTGTGATAATAGATCTGCCAGACGACAGCTCTATTGGAGAGGAACCCTGGCCAGGTGGCTCAGTAGGCTAGAGTGTCATCCAGTGCACCCAGGTGGGGTTGTGGGTTTGGTTCCCAGTTGGGGCACATGCCTGGGTTGCGAGTTTGATCCCCAGTCAGGATGCATGCAGGGGGTGTCCGATGAATGTTTCTCTCACATTGATGATTCTCCCTCCCTCTCTTCCTTCCTCTCTCTAAAAATCAAGAACATATCCTCTAAAAATAATAATATCCTATAAAATAATAATAATAAATATTATTGGGGGGAAAAGAGGAGTGGAGTTAGAATCTTTTTGCTCTGGGTTCATAGGATCACATCTTCTCCTGGCATAACTATTAAAGACATAAAGTGTGTTAATGGAGCTGTTTTCCTTTACTTAGGTAATAAAGCTCTTACAATCAAAATACCATTACAAAGAAGAGGCTGAAATAATTTGTGACAAAGTTCAAGTTAAACTCAGCAAGGAATGTTTTCGTTCTTCCAATGTATGCATTACTGATCAAAGGACTTCACACTGGGAGGAAGCAATTCAGGAAACAAAGGGTGGTGCAGCCAATAGGGAGTTGGCTGAAGAATGTTATTTTCTGTGGAAATCCACGCGTTTACAGCATATGACACTAGCAGAAGATGTCAAAGCCATGCTCACTGAACTTCGAAAGGATGTCTGCCTACTTTTATTAACAAATGGAGATAGACAGACCCAGAGGGAGAAGATTGAGGCTTGTGCCTGTCAGTCCTATTTTGACGCCATCGTTGTAGGTGGAGAACAAGAAGAAGAGAAACCGGCACCTTCCATATTTTATTACTGCTGTGATCTCCTTGGAGTACAGCCTAGGACTGTGTGATGGTTGGCGATACACAAGAAACTGATATAGAAGGAGGCCTCAATGCAGGGCTGAAAGCAACAGTCTGGGTAAATAAAAATGGAATAATGCCGCTGAAGTCTTCGCCCGTGCCACATTATATAGTTTCTTCTGTGCTAGAGTTACCTGCTCTCTTACAAAATATAGACTGCAAAGTCAGTATGTCGGTTTAAAGAAAATGAAAAGGCATGGTCTATCTGGAAACCTAGAATAAATTAGTACAAGCTAATTTTAGTAGTGTGATTGAGAAAACTTGAATAAATATATTATTTGTTAATCTGTGATGAGGTTTTTTTTTTTGTTGTTGTTTTTTTAATATATTTTATTGATTTTTTACAGAGAGGAAGGGAGAGAGATAGAGAGTTAGAAACATCAATGAGAGAGAAACATCGATCAGCTGCCTCCTGCACATCTCCTACTAGGGATGTGCCCGCAACCCAGGTACATGCCCTTGACCGGAATCGAACCTGGGACCTTTCAGTCCGCAGGCCGACGCTTTATCCACTGAGCCAAACCAGTTTCGGTGACTTGAGGTTTTTAAAATTTTGTTTTATTAATCTTTTAGCATCTGGGATCCAAGGAGATACCAAGCAGGATAATTTATATATGGGTGTACAAATATAGGTTTTATGTACTGACTTAAAAATAAATATTTTTTAAAAATAGACATTCTAGTCCTAGCCAGTTTGGCTCAGTGGATAGAGTGTTGGCCCGCAGACTAAAGGATCCCGGGTTTGATTCTGGTCAAGGGCACATGCCTGGGTTGCGGGCTCAATCCCCAGTAGGGGGCATGCGGGAGGCAGCCAATCAATGATTCTCTCTGATCATTGAGATTTATATCTTTCTCTCCCTCTCCCTTCCTCTCTGAAATCAATGTATATATAAAGAAACTTTAGAACTTTAAAAAAAAATAGATATTCTAAAACATATGTAATAGAACAACTGGATCTGGTTAATATGAAATAAGTACTAGGTTACATGCAGATCAAGGCATTTCATATGAGAGTATTTTGTATATTTTTGAAAATATATATGCCATTTTGTTGCCTACTTAAATGTATACTTTCTTTTAGTAATCTAATTTTTCTGCATTACCTTTTCTGAGGGGCCTCCAATTTTCCTTTGCTATAAATACGACAAATAGATTCCTCCAATAGAAAAAGCTGTTCAGCCCGACTGGCGTGGCTCAGCAGTTCAGCATGAATTAGGAAGTCATGGTTTGATTCCTGGTCAGGGCACACATGGGTTGCTGGCTTAATCCCCAGTGGGAGTCATGTAAGAGGCAGCTGATCAATGGTGCTCATCATTTTTTTTTTTTTAAATTAGGTACAGAAAGTATTTAATATATTTTATTGATTTTTTTACAGAGAGGAAAGGAGAGGGATAGAGAGTTAGAAACACCAATGAGAGGGAAACATCGATCAGCTGCCTCCTGCACACCCCCCACTGGGGATGTGCCCGCAACCAAGGTACATGTCCTTGACCGGAATTAAACCTGGGACCCTTCACTCCGCAGGCCGACGCTCTATCCACTGAGCCAAACCGGTTAGGGCAATGTGCTCATCATTGATATTTCTCTCTCTCCCTCTGCCTTCCTCTCTGAAATCAATAAAAATACATTTTTTTAAAAAAAAAGCTGTAAAAAATTCAGCATGTGGTACTCCTTTTCTATTATCACATCTTTCCAGAGTGAGCTTGTAATTTCCTATTAGTCTTTACCACTTATGGAACTATTTTTAATATCTTTTCCCAGGCACACAATGGAGTTGAGGGAATTAGACTGTCTTGAAGATAAGTGCAATCTATAAAAGTCATTTTCCTTTTGTGGACACATCAGAAGGGAATTGTCTTGGCACAGCCTCACCATGCACCCTCACCCCATCCCCCATCTGTTCTCTACTCTGAATAGTTTCATGCATATGACAAAAACTAATAGAAAATTAGGTTTTTCTATGAATCATTTCAGGATGCAATTTTAATATTTGACTCGCTCTTCTTGGTGTTACCATCCTTTCAAGTCTCCTGTTTTTTAAATTATAGAAGATACGATTCACAAATTTCTGTATCCAATTCAGAGTTCACTTTGAGCTTACTAATTAATGACTCCATTGCAAAGCATCTTGCAACTAGAAAAAATTCTCTACATAGTCTCATTATTTCACCAACTTAGAGTAAAATGATTATGGAAATAAGAAATAATGACTTAGGTCAGTGATGGCAAACCTTTTGAGCTCGGCGTGCCAGCATTTTGAAAAACCCTAACTTAACTCTGGTGCCGTGTCACATATAGAAATTTTTTGATATTTGCAACCATAGTAAAACAAAGACTTATATTTTTGATATTTATTTTATATATTTAAATGCCATTTAACAAAGAAAAATCAACCAAAAAAAATGAGTTCGCGTGTCACCTCTGACAAGCGTGTCATAGGTTCGCCATCACTGCCTTAGACAGTGGTTCTCAACCTTCTGGCCCTTTAAATACAGTTTCTCATGTTGTGACTCAACCATAAAATTATTTTCGTTGCTAGCCCTAAACGGTTTGTCTCAGTGGATAGAGCGCCGGCCTGCGGACTGAGGGGTCCCGGGTTCGGTTCCGGTCAAGGGCATGTACCTTGGTTGCGGGGCACATCCCCAGTGGGGAGTGTGCGGGAGGTAGCTGATTGATGTTTCTCTCTCATCGATGTTTCTGACTCTCTATCCCTCTCCCTTACTCTCTTTAAAAAAAAAATCAATAAAATATATTTTAACAAAAAAATAAAATAAAATAAAATATGCCTCTCCATGAACCTGTTGTAGCCAATTATTTCCTGTCTACTATCAAGAACAGGATTATCTGCCAATGTGCAAACTATATTTTTATTGATTGTAGAGAGGGAGAGAAAGATAGAAACATCAGTGATGAGAGTCATTGATCAGCTACTTCCTGCATGCCTCACAGTGGGGTTTGAGCCCGCAACCCGGGCATATGCCCCCTGACTGGGAATCTAACCATGACCTGGTTCATGGTTGACATTCAACCACTGAGCCACGCCAGCTGGGCTACTTATCTTGATTTTTAAAAATGTGGCTGTGCAATTGACTATCCCAGGATGCTGTTGCTATAAAGCTGAACATTCGTTGCCTTGGACAGTGTGGCTTGGTTGTTTGGAGCATCATCCCTTACGAAAAGTCATGGATTTAATTACTGGTTAGGGCTCATACCCAGGTTGTGGTCTGGGTATGTACAGGAGGCAACCCATCGCTTTTCTCATCTTTCTTCCTTTCTTTCTCTCTTTCTTTCTCTCTTTCTTTCTTTCTTTCTTTCTTTCTTTCTTTCTTTCTTTCTTTCTTTCTTTCTTTCTCTCTCTCTCTCTCTCTCTCT